AGACTGCGTGGACCCGAACTTTGTGACATATTTTAACACTCCATACGTGATTTGGAATGCGAGTGCATATGGAGATCTGCTTTATGATTACGGGGAACATATTGTAGTCGTGCTCTGTTTGGCCAGCATCGATGATGAGGAGATGCTGCGATTGTTGAGCGAAAATATCCGCTACATGCGCCCCACACGCATTTTGGCGCTGCTCAATGAGAACTTGGTTGCGACGCAAATTGATGAAATTCTGCGATTTTTCGAAATTTGTGCACAATTGGATTTAATTAATGTGTTGCTCTTGCATCGGGATACATTTGTTGAAGAGCGCTACCATAGTTACACAAAGTTTCCGTCCTTTGCGCTGGAAGTTCACAACACCGGCAAAAATCTTAAGCAGAGAAAATGGTTTCCAGATCGCTTGAAAGATCTGTTTGGCAAAAACTTAACGGTTCTACCGGATTTACATAGTTTTTATGCATTTGTTGAAGTGAACGCTGATGGAGTTATTGAAATGTGTGGTAGTCTGGCAAGGTTCGCACAAAATTTTGCTGAATTTATGAACGCATCCTTGGTCTTTCACCCAAATTTTACAACTGACGATGATCTCGATTTTATTTCGGTTAGGAAATCCGTGGATTTAGGTCTTATTGATTGTGGCATAGTATTTAAACCAATTGCATACGGGAGTTCTTCACAAATGTTGGGGCATTACAAAGCTATCCGTTGCCGTACCAATAATCATCGTGCCACCTATGACGGCACTCTTCTATGCTTTCGTCAAGAAACCCACCTTGCTTCTGGTTATTGTTCAAACCACTATGCTAAATATTCTACTGTCGAAGTGCATACAGCGCGACAGTGGAAGGCGTCAATTTAGGAGCAAATGGAGTCAACTTACATTCATCGGCGACACAGGAGTTCGCAGTATACTGGGCCAACCGTTGTCCATATCAAACGGTCTATCTTTACTCACGCAGTATGTGTATTATATGCTACTTTTTGCTGGAATGATATTTCAAACTTACTTTGCGGCAAATTATTCGCAACTGAAAACATTTCCTCCGCTGCGTCCGCGGGTCTCCACATATGAAGAAGCCGCAAAAACAGGTTTTTCAAATTTACATCGTCGATAAACAGATTTTTGATTTGCAGTTTAGCGACATATTTATTGAAGACCGGTTATTGTTTCGCAAACCTTTGGATTTGAACAGTGAAAGGGGGTATGCAATAGATAGCTTAACTTGGGAAATGAATTACTCCGAGCAGTCTATATCAAAAGTCATGGACAGTATGGATATCAGTGATTCGGTAATGTTCGCCCTTGGACTACCAGAATACTCCATTTTTAAGCAACCGTTAGATGATTTCACAGAAATTATATTGCAAAGTGGCTTATACAGTTATTGGAAGCGTAATCCGTGTGTCGGGAATTCCGTGAAGTTCCAAAAACTTTCGTATGACGATCCACACAAAACACAACGACCGCTTAGAGTCGTAGATCTACATGGTGTTTGGTTAATGTATTGTTTCGCAATTATAATATGTATTCTTGTATTTATTTGTGAAGTGCTTGTAAAGCTTATGAAGCAGTTGAAGGAGGGCTATCGAAACTGACAGACTGTAACTGACCGAAGCTTTTAAAAATTACTACAAACTGATATTGGAGTTTTATTTTTAAATAATAATGAATAAATAATAATACTTATATTTCCTAAATGTATTATAAATGTGCTTTTAAAAAATAAATGTTGTGAATCTCATTAATTTGTTATCATCAACTATGCTTTGTGGACTAGAGACCATTGTCATAAATTCATACATTTTTTGTTTTTTGCAAATAAAAATATATTCATCATCGATTGGTCAGTACGCTAATCACAAAAGATTAGCATGGGAAGACAACAACAAGTTTAGCGAGTTGAATTCGATGCAAGAGAGTACTCGAGCATTAAACCAAATTTTGTTTAAAATTTTAGGGAAAGTTTTACTTGCGACAGGCTCAACTGACCAATGACTGTCAAAAATATAAACAAAAATTATTATTTTTATTGATTTTGAAACCTTAAGGTTCAAAACATATTGGAAACGTATGGCGCAGACGCTGCTCAAAATTTTATTTACCAAAACAAGAAGCACAACACAATTGTGCATTGAGGACTTATTTACTCAAAGTTGCATGGTGCTCAGGTTTCTGGTTGCATGTTTGAATAGCTCGCATAGGAGTCGAAGACAGCTTATAACAAAAATTTACACAAAGGTTCTTGCGACAGCACATGAACCGATGGTATCCTAGCGCAGGACAAGCTACCGTAAAGCCCAGATATCCAATAGCAGAACCCAAGGGGGAGCATCAACATATTTCCGTTCTCCTGATAAGGCGACTAGAGTACCTTTCCTTGCAGGAAGTCTAAAACTGAAGTTGATAGAGCGTTCCTGACTGCCTCACCCCTCCAACAGCTTCTACCGAGCCACAACTCGCTCGCAGATACGTGGTCAAAAAAGCACAAGCCAAAGTGTGGTTTGTCCACTCCATAATCCAAAAGAACCGGTATAAAGTCAAAGTGTGTGAGAACTTTCGAATGTTCACATATGTGTTCAGATTCTCTGAGTGTGATAGAAATTTTCGCGGCCATACATTTTCCGGCAATATCATGGGTACTATATGCAAAATGGCATTAGTTGTCATGGTTGGAGTGGACCTGAGTGGTGATGAACGCCGCTCGTGAAAAGCTTTGATTATAATGGCTGACTTTTTTTCTTCTAAGCATGTCTAAATATCTGAAGAAGTTTTAAACATTATTTGACAAATTACGAAGCACGAGCTTTTGATGTTAAACCTTGAGAAAGTGATCAGAACAAGGCAACCTAATACCCCAATCAGAAACGGTTACAAGCTATAAAAAATTGAAAAAAAAGCTGACATTCTTTAGAGATTTCGGTTCTTAAATAACTGAGGTTTTACTTAGATAACTAGAGCCATTAATATAAATATACATCTCAGGACTCTAGAACTAGTGAGGATATGGAAGATATTTATTTCACTGCTAAACTTAACATACCACACATTTCTTAAGTAAACATTTTTGGAGCGCTTCTTTGCTTTTATTAGGGGTTATACCTCTAAATTTTAAGAATTTTACAGCCGACAAAAATGGAATTATAACCTTAACTCCAGTGGTGTAAACAAGACAGCTTGCTATTATTAAGTTGGTTTGAAGCTTATTTGGAACTTATTTGACATAAAGGTATTTTAAGGTATTCTCCGGCAGGTGGCACTCGGTGCTAAAGTTTATTTGAGCGACTTGAGACATACAGTGGAAATATATTTGAAATATTTTACGAATGTGGTAAAATGAAGTAAATCATTGAACAAAAATTAAAAGTACTTTCTACCAAAATTTATATAAATGTGAATATTAGAAATTATCACTCTTAAAAATAACTATACGTCGAAAAGTTTTTTCTTAATTTGTTCTTTAAAGAATAACATAAAATCGAAAAAACTTTCTTATGGAAAGTTAACACAGAAGTTGATTTCCAAGACTGTTTTCAATCAGATTTGAAATATATATTGAAGAGAATACACATATTTTTGAAATTAAAAAATTTTGAACTTTTCTAAATTTTGGAAACAATAAAAAAGGTTTAAAAAAGTTGCCCGACTTATATTAAAATAACTTGTTAAATTTAAAATGGAGTAAATATTTCTGAATATTGTTATCAACTTGTTTTGAAAGAGATAATCAATTTCTTAAATTTAAAAGAAATTTTATTTATGTTGTATTTGTTTTCTAAATAAAATTTTAGATTTTCAGAAATTTTTTTAAAGATTTTAATTTAAACAAGTAAGGAAGGGCTAAGTTGGAGTGTAACCGAACATTTTATACTCTTGCAACCGGCAAGGATGAAAGTCGGCAAAGCAACGAAAATCATTTATATAGTATATGGGAGTTTGGATAATTTGTGGACCAATTTTACATATTTTCGGCATTAAACTATAGTATATTTAATATTTTATGTTCAGTTTTACATATTTATTATTTACAGAAACAGACGTTCTCTGTGTTTCATCAATGTACCTAGCATACCATCAACAATATATAAGGAGTAAAGTCAACCGGATGTTTGAAAATCTTGATATTAGTTATATGGGGCAAGGGAAAGTTTTCACTCTACTTTACTCATTTTAGGCTTACATACATATACATCGTTACAAGAAAAACGCACCCGCACAATTTTATTAAGATAACTTAAATATTGACTGATATATGGAGTATACCATAAAGCCAGCCGGCAGTTCGAAAGTCTTTCTAGTGGGTATATGAGGGCATATTTAATATTATCAGGAATGGATTCTCTCGGAATTCCAATTATATATAATATAATATATCAAACAATGAATAATAATTTCGGTAAAAAGTCTACCATGGACATTGGGGTCCCAAAAGCCTTTTTAGCACTTCTTCATACGCTCTGAAAATGGGTAATAACCACGTCCACTTTTTATATAACGGTTATGTTGAAAACTATTGGAAGTGCGATAACTCATTGAATAAATCCACCACAAACAATAAATTTTAAATTCTAGATTGTTGGCAAGGGCTTTATAGGTGCAAGTGAAAAAACAGGATAAGCGCATGGCACCGCGGTGGCTTGTGAAGTGTGAGGTTATGCAAACATTCCGATAATACGCTATGAAAATGAGCGAGAATGGATGAAAACACGCCTACTTCCCAGACACCAAATACGTGGACCCCAGTGACTGATTTTACTGAAACTATCGATCAATCTGTGAGATGTAGTATATACAATTTGCTATTAATTTGTTAAACTAAAATACTCGCGTTCAATTAGCATAAAAATTAATGCTTTATTAAATTAAATTTTATTTCTATCATTACTTGGTTCAAATATATGAACTGAACTTCTCTCAGCACCTATTTGGCTTGCTATTAAATTTTATTTTACCATTACATCCATTAAGTATATTAACAGTAAATGCAATATTCCAGTGACGCTTCGAATATTATTCATGTAGAGAAACCGTTTTTGGTTTTAAAAGTGCCAATATATACTACGAATAAAATTCCAAAAATTGAGAAACTCAAGGTAGACAAGACTAATATTGCTCTCATGCTGCACAGACGCTCGTAAGGCTGTTTGGAAAAATAAAACAAATTTCAACAAATATGTTTTAAATATTGTAGATTAGCATATCAAAATGAATACAAACTAACTAGTAATTTTCTAAATACTTTCGAAATTCCTTATAACAACTAAATTATATACTACTACTATAGAATTGACAGCCCCTCCTGTAGAAATAGTCAGATTTTTTATGTGAAAACAAATTTCCATTTATTGAAAATACCAGAAAGCGCTTCAAATTCGATGAATCAAAGAACCATAAATATGAATGCGTTTGAAGCTTAGAGATAGCGGATCGTACATGAACTCAGTGTTGCAGTGAATTTATTAGTCTCAAATGCGCATAGGTGCATTATATTAGTATATGGCTAGTATTAAGTATTTTTCAAGTATTTCGTTTCATTTTGATAATACAATTCGGAAGTGAAACGTTAAAGCTCGGAAGAATGCAGTGGCGAAATTTCATTGCTATTTCTGTTTTACTATTCACTGCCAAAACCGCAGCAACACTGGATACCGAAGCTCCCTCAGACTTTGGCAATCGTATTCAAAGCGTTTTGCTGGACATCCAAGCGGAGAAGAATTATAGAACGATTTTCTTGCAACGACGTCAGGCAATAGACTGCGTGGACCCGAACGTCGTGAGATATTTCAACACTCCATACGTGATTTGGAATGCGAGTGCATATGGAGATCTGCTTTATGATTACGGGGAACATATTGTAGTCGTGCTCTGTTTGGCCAGCATCGATGATGAGGAGATGCTGCGATTGTTGAGCGAAAATATCCGCTACATGCGCCCCACACGCATTTTGGCGCTGCTCAATGAGAACTTGGTTGCGACGCAAATTGATGAAATTCTGCGATTTTTCGAAATTTGTGGACAATTGGATTTGATTAATGTGTTGCTCTTGCATCGAGACACATTTGTTAAAGAGCGCTACCATAGTTACACAAAGTTTCCGTCCTTCGCGCTGGAAGTTCATAACACCAGCAAAAATCTTAAGCAGAGAAAATGGTTTCCAGATCGCTTGAAAGATCTGTTTGGCAAGAATTTAACGGTACTACCAGATTTACATAGTTTTCATACGTTTGTTGAAATTAATGCTGATGGAGTTATTGAAATGTGTGGTAGTCTGGCAAGGTTCGCACAAAATTTTGCTGAATTTATGAACGCATCCTTGGTCTTTCACCCAAATTTTACAACTGACGATGATCTCGATTTTATTTCGGTCAGGAAGGCCTCACAACAAGGTCTTATTGATTGCGGCATAGCATTTAAACCAATTACATACGGGAGTTCTTCACAAATGTTGGACATTACAAAGCTATCCGTTGCCGTACCAATAATCATCGTGCCACCTATGACGGCACTCTTCTATGCTTTCGTCAAGAAACCCACCTTGCTTCTGGTTATTGTTCAAACCACTATGCTAAATATTCTACTGTCGAAGTGCATACAGCGCGACAGTGGAAGGCGTCAATTTAGGAGCAAATGGAGTCAACTTACATTCATCGGCGACACAGGAGTTCGCAGTATACTGGGCCAACCGTTATCCATATCAAACGGTCTATCTTTACTCACGCAGTATGTGTACTATATGCTCCTTTTTGCTGGAATGATATTTCAAACTTACTTTGCGGCAAATTATTCTCAACTGAAAACATTTCCTCCACTGCGTCCGCGGGTCTCCACATATGAAGAAGCTGTCGAAACAGGTTTTCAAATTTGCACCGCCAAAGAGGACTTTGTAAATTGTTTGCAGTATAGCGGTATATTTATTGAAGACAGGTTATTGTATCGTAAACCTTTTGATTTGAGCAGTGAAAAGGGGTATGTAGTAAATCTTTTAACTTGGGATACGAATTACTCCGAGCAGTCTATATCAAAAGTCATCGACAATATGGATATCAGTGATTTGAAAATGCTAGCACTTAGACTACCAGAATACTCAATTTTCAAGCAACCGTTAGATAATTTCACGGCAACTATATTGCAAAGTGGCTTATACAGTTATTGGAAGCGTAATCCGTGTGTCGGGAATTCCGTGAAGTTCCAAAAAATTTCGTATGACGATCTACACAAAACGCAACGACCGCTTAGAGTAGTAGATCTACATGGCGTTTGGTTAATGTATTGTGGCGCAATTATAATATGTATTTTTGTATTTGTTTGTGAAGTGCTTGTAAAGCTTATGAAGCAGTTGAAGGAGGGCTTTCGAAACTGACCGACTGTAATTGACCGAAGCTCTTAAAAATTACTACAAACTCATATTGGAGTTTTATTTTTGAAAATAATGAAAAAATAACAGTACTTATAATTCCTAAATGTATTATAAATGTGCTTTAAAAAAATAAATGTTGTGATTATCTCATTGCAATCTATGTTATCATCAACTATGCTTTGTGGACTAGAGACCATTGTCATAAAATCGTATATCTTTTTTTTTGCAAATAATAAAAGAAATATGTTTACTTTAACCTTTTCTTGATCTACCGAATAAGTTTTTTCACCGAATATAACTTAGTTTTCGAAAGGTCTCGACATTTTGGTATTTTCGGTCGACTGATTGCTGAAAATTGCTGATACATTTTTATACATGGCTTTTTCCTAAAGAAAATCTGAGTTAAGTAGCCCTGCATGCTCTTTTCGACTTCGTAACCGAATTTATGTTATAAGCATAGCAGAATAAAATCCTTTCTTCGAAATTTACGAACTGCAATAAACACAGCTATGAAAATGGTTAAAAATTATAAATTGTTTTTCTGCCGTAATAAAATTCTATTTTGGATAGTCGTCAGCCAATAAAATATTTTTTAAAGCCAACTTGCCGATTTTATTGTTGAATTTGAATTTTCAATAACATGGTAACCTTATACATATTTTTATATTCGGGGAACATCCAATATAATTTTTTTTTATCAGCGACCAAAGAAGAGAAACAATCACTTATTATTTCGCTAACATGATGCAATCAATAAGAAGTGAGGCTGTATTTATTGAATTGCTATATATAAATTAAAGATCTTACATTCCATCGAGGGGGGAAAAAATTCTAGTCCACCTCATGAGTGCAGATAATGCAGTCTTGTACACAACTCGATCGAATTAAGAACTTAATAAGATTAAAAAATTCACAATATCAAAAAGTTTTCAAATGCAAATCAACCAGTTGGATTTGCGAACCTTCTGATTAAGATCTAGTTCATTTTCAAAATAATTTAGATGACTATACGTTAACTTTTTTTTACATGCGGTTAACTCAGTGTGAACATTAATTTTTAAGAAAGTCCGACTTCTTATTGAGTTCAAAAGTTGTATGACTGAGAGAGCTACTTACCAAGTAGCTTTACTTTAAAATATGGTTATGTAATATCACCTCGGCCTGAACTGCTCACAACTTATATTCAGAATATATGCCGGTCTTCTGTATGACTCAAGAAACTTTAAGATCCTCAATATTATCATTGTTCTGAGTTCTGTTTAATTATTCAAGGAAGATAAACCATATATTGCATATAATTACATAAATTGTGTAAGAGTGACGTCATACTAGCGATGACCCGCAAGCAAGAAGTTTTACTTAAATTCTAACAGCCTCTCTCTGAGAAAAAAATTTGGCTTGCACAACAGAAAGTAATTTAATAACACATTTTAAATGAATACTAACAATTCCCCAATATGGGAGTCAATCGCGCAAAACAACGAGAAATGGAAATGGTTTTTGCTTCCACTTGCCACTTGCCACCACTTCACCTACATAAACCACTATGTTCCCGTCCAACCAAATGTTGTGAAAACAACTACTTGCGAATTTATTGTAATGCCAAAAAGTATTTTCCACGAACATTAATTGTGTTGCAGTTAGTTTACAACAACAGCAATGCATGCCACACATTTGTTGCAACAGTAGCAAATAGCAATTGTAAGTATAAATCATTTCAGTTTTCTTGCAGCGTTAATGTGGCATTGTTGTGGTACAAACTTTCAAGGCTTACCAACAGCTAACAACAACAATAAGGGTAGTGGCAGCATTTGAATTGCTACGGTGTAAAAGCATTGGCCACAAACAACAAAAACACCAACAATAACAAAGATCTGCAAATATTCGTGCATGTTGTTGTTATTATTGTAACACAGGCAACCGCCAAAACCGTTTTAACCAATTTGCGCGTCAACAACAACAACTGCAATACGCGCGGTGGAGGGGCGGACGGGGCTGCTCTGCTCATAATTTGATGGAGATATTTATATGCTAATGTTTGTCTGTATACATATGTATGTGTGTGTCTCTTTTAATATATGCAAATTTAATTTAAAAGATTCACTTGGAAGTGGCAGTGCCACAACGCGCCATTTTGCCAGCGGACACGCAACTCGGTCGGTCGCGCAGCATTCCTTCGAGGCGGAGTTGCCACAGCCACCATATACATACTATAAGAGTAAATGTGTGTGTCTGCGTCGTATCCCGCGAATATGTCTTTAGAGCCCAAGCGCAGACTTCACAGACCGCCTCTAACTCAGCGCTTAGTTGTTGTTGTGTGTTTAGTTAAATTGGCAACTGTGTTTTAGTTTTTGGCAGCGACAGCCTTTTATATCACCAGCACGATGATACAACCTCAGAGCCACCACTACCCTCCCCAGAACACCACAGCCCTCCCTTCTTGCCACTTTACAGTCGAGGTTGTAGTCGTTGCTGCCACCTACTCAGCAATTATAAATTTTTCCATACCAACAACAACCATGCTGCTGACATCTTTACCGAAACTCAGTCTGCACGAGGCTTCTTGGTTGTTTGCAATTTGAATTGAATTGAAAATTTATTGTTGCTACAGCATTAGGTTATGGGCTTTTTGTTATAGTTGTTGCTGTGGCTTTAAGTTATAAGGTTTACCAAATTCGGTTAGTTTGGTTGGCAGTTAGTTTGCTTGTTGTTGTAGGATGTGGAATTGTTGGCGTTGAAATTGTGGATTTATGTTGTTATAAATATTTTGACATGCTCGTTGTTGCTATTGTTGTTGAGTTTATGTTGTCTTGTGGACTGTTGCTGACAAGTTTTAAATGGCAAAACTAATATTTTACAATAAGTTTTGCAATCAGTGAGATTTGCTGTTTTTAATGACATTGCCAGAAATTGATTTTATTTTCATGTAGAAAAAAGTTAAAAGTTCGCGGAATCATTCTGAACAACTTCAAAACTGGTTTCGATCCAGCGATTTTATAAGTGAAGTTTAATTTTTAGGTATAATAAAAATGTCTTCGTTAGATCGAACAACTATATTACATATCTCCCATACAGTCGAAATAATACTAGTAGAGCGCTCTCTTAGAAAACCGCACGAATTAATGCATACAACCAATACATAAAAAACAAGAAAAAACTTCAATGTTCTACTTAGGAGCCCAATATTAACATTATTTTACTGAGGAAAGGCAACAAGAGCAACAACAATACAAAATGTTTGCAACCAACGGAAAAACGAACACACGCCAACATATCCGTAAACACCTACTTCAACAAGCTGAAAAGCACTCAGCCGGTGAGGCACTCCACGCTTGGAAAAGACTTAGCCAAAATATAGCGAAAGTCAGTAGAGGTAGACGAAGAAGCAGCGCATACCGTTTAGTACACTTGTCAACACTATAAAATTAAGTAGCGCCTGGATGCTGGAAAGCATTTTCTCGCTTTGTTTTATTTTTTCTTGTGAAAGCCACACAACGGAATTTGTACTTATGAACGACCTTACAGTTATGTTTATGTGTTTGTGCATGTGTGGCATAAGCAGCTTAAGTTGAAAAGTTGTTGACTGTGCTTAACTATCCGATAACTACGCGAGACGGAAATACATCAGCGCTCAGGGAAAAACACTTTGGAGACCTCAGTGAGTGAGGTGCCACAGTGCCAAGCGATGGATACGGATGAAAGATACAAAAGACAAGGGGCATAGCAATACTAGCTGCTGCCATTGGAGTTGAATCGGAGGCAAACAACAAAAACAGTATGTGCCATTCTACTATTTAGTGTTTTTATACCCTGAACAGGGTATATTAAGTTTGCTACGAAGTTTATAACACCCAGAAGGAAACGTCGGAGACCCTATAAAATATATATATAAATTATCACCATGATGAGCTGAGTTGATTTAGCCATGTCCGTCTGTCTGTATATATACAAACTAGTCCCTCAGTTTTTAAGCTATCGATCTGAAATTTTGCACCTGTCCTTTTCTCACAAAGAAGCTGCTCATTTGTCGGAACGACCGATATCGGGCCACTATAGCATATAGCTGCCATACAAACTGAACAATCGGAATCAAGTGTTTGTATGGGAAACTCTTTCATTTGTCAAGGTATTTTCACGAAATTTGGCATGTATTATTATTTAAGGCATTAATCCAATCTCCGAAGAAATTGGTCAGATCAGATCACTATATCATATAGCTGCCATACAAATTGAACGTTCAGAATCAAGTTCATGTAAGGGGCCTTTGTATTTGTAAAGGGTATTATAGCTTCGGTGCAACCGAAGTTAACGTTTTTCCTTGTTATTTTATTATTACGTGTACTTGTATATATATTTTTTTGTGGAAAACACAGTTCGGGAAGTTGTGAAGAAAACACCTACGCAGACACATTTTCCCCCACCAAACCACCAACTTTGTTTCCATTGTCATTGAGTGAAACCAATGCTAGCTGCCACACATTTATTTTATATATACAAATACATATATACATAGATATGTATGTAATCATATAAATAAGTGTTGAAATTAACAATGCACTGCTTCCAACAATTGCTAGAAGGGCAATTACAGGTACTAGAGTTCAAATAGACCTAATATAAATACACATTAAGGTGGGACAAAAACCCAATATTTTTTTTCGCATCGTGCTCTGAACAATTGGTTGATAAACATCTCTAAGAAGGGCTCTCGAAGTATGCGCTCTTAATTGTAAATGGAAGGTCCTCCGCTTAAGGGTTTCCTATTTTTTTTATTATCAGTTTGAAAAATGCATACCTCGCTTCCAACTACTTGAAGAAAGAAAAAAAAAAAAGAAAAAACTATGAAACGAGATATTTTTTTAAGAAGTTGGAAGCGCAATATGAACTTTTCTATAAGAATAATTAGAAAAAATATAAAACTTTTAGCGGAGGACCATATCGTTAGAATTATGAGCTCATACTTGGAAAGCTTTTCATATAGGTGTCTATCAACCAATTTTCAGAGTACGAAGCGAAAAAAAAACTTTTTTTTGTTTAACAGTTTGAACACGCCGCAAAACATTCGCACCGCTTACAACTAACTTCGAAATCATTATGAAAGATGTATAGGGCGACCTTGACTGGCAGATATCGGCTGCTTTGCATTCATTCATACGCAATTAACTCGCTCAACGCACAAAAGAAAGAGCGGAGGAAAACAAATAAACAAACAACATCAATCAAATGGATTAGAAAA